ATTCAATTTCTTGGTTTTAAATGAATGACTTCTGGTTTAAGAACCGACGAACGTTTCAGTCAATTTCTATTTGTTAATAAAGGAGGGCAAATTATGTTAAAAGTGTGAAGTGTGAAGCAAAGTGTACTTTATCAGTGTTAGGCAATTTTCTTTAGACTTAAGTGAGGATGGAATATGTTATATTTTTTTTGTATTTTGATTGCTCGGTCCGCTCGCTGAATTTCAAAGAGAAGATCCTCGAAAAGGTAAATTCACCAAAAACCTAGAAAACCTTTTTTACATAGGTATTTGGCACCTTCTTGAAATTCAAATTATTTTCAAGTCTGGGATTGCTCGCTCTACTCGCATCATCTCAAAGAGAAGATCCTTGGGAACGCGAATCCACCAAAAACTTTAAAAAAACCTTTTTTACATACCTCGCCCCTTGAAATTGGAAATATTTTTAAGTCTAGGATTACTCGCCGAATCTCGAGGAGAAAATCTTCGGAAACGTGAATCCACAGTACCTACTTTCCATTTGTTATTTCTGTAGATGTTATAGATTAGCTGTCTGGACCGTCAATCAATTCAAGTGTTGTTCATTGTTCTTTCTATGGCTGGAAATTGAAATATAGAAACACGGTACTTATTTGTTGGATTTTTTTATGAAAATTTTCGTCTCACGTTCATAATTTCTCTAATTCTCTGGTTTGTGATCCTGTCCATTTTTGACCTGCCTTCCGCTCCTTCTCCAAGAGTCCATTCCAGTTGCTTCCAGCATTTTTGCGGATCTGACTTAGGCCTGGCTTATTACCTGACTGTTTATGAGAAGGTGAATGAACCGGCCCTTCAGTGAGACACAATAGTAGATGATATGAAAGACAAACACCTGGTTTTAGTTCGGACATGTGAGTACGAAGACAGATAAGAGAATCCCAAGTAATTCATTGAGTGGAAGCCAGGGAACGAATAAGATGCGGTAGACCGAGACAAAGCTGTAGACAGAGGTTGGAGGAGGATGCATGGATTTACGGAGATAGTTGGATGGAATCGGAAGACGAGAACGTTATAGACCGATAATTGTATATTTTCATGGTACTTGAACCATGTTGTCCAGTCACATTACATTTCAGGTGATAAGTGCCATAAGCGGCTGATGATAATTTTCATGAACACCTTGTATATTTAGGATAAAAACGAGATGACAGGGTAGTTCGATGGTCCTATCACCCTTTTTGGAAGAGCGGAATGGCGGGCATTTTATGCCATTCATGGTGTTTTAACACTCTTAAGACATAGGTGAAGTCTCTCCCATCAGTGTTCATTGAATGGTCTCCTTTTCTTCTTTCAGCATTTCAGCTCACTCAATCTTCTCCTAGTGGTTTGTTGTATTGCGTTCTCGATGTTAAATTATTCGATATTATATCTTCAGAACTGACATTTTTTAATTTTGTCTCCACATCGCACACTTGCATAGAACTATCGTCATGATACAAGCTTTCCACAGCTGAAGCAAATTCATTCTTGTCATTTTATTCTGCTCCGTCTTCATTTTTGATGTGCATGGACCATGGTTAGTTGGCGCCGAGTGTTGGTTTTAGGCATTTTCGAATTTCATTCTCTTTTACAGCTCTTTCTATCATTGCTTTGTTGTTTATCTTCTTTGAATGTACATATTTCATTTTCCATCGCTTATCCATCATCCGTTCTAACTTTTTGTGCTACTTTTTTTTCTGCCTCTTTAAAGTTGTTCGTTTAATTTATCATGGATGTTGGTTATGTCATCTACTTCTGATTCTTCTCTCGTGTCTTTTTCCTGGAGCTTCGTAATTCTTCCCAATCCACTCTCAAACTTGACCTCGAGGATGAGTTTAACTTTCAGAGCTCTATGATCACTCCTTGAGTTAATATCCGTTATCAAATGAGACATTTTCAAAGATGAAGGTACATATCTGCTTTGCATAGTCTATTTTGTTTTTTTTTTTTTTTTTTCATACCATCTGATGGTGATATCGAGGTACAGGGTGACCCAGTATAAAGTGAACACCCCCTACCTTTTCGGTAAAAAAATTATTTTTGAAAAAATCAAGATAGCCATTTCGTGTATTTTTTTTCTAAGAATTTGAATTTTTTTTTCGAAAGGACCCCGCACACATCTTATGGGTTTTTGGTTTTCTGTCAAACTCAATGAAATTTTGATATGTGTTAGACCTTAACTTCCTGATAAAAAGTTCTCATGGGCCCGAACCAATCCTATGATTAGTTTTTGAGATACAGGTACTTTTATGTCCAAGAAATGTATATACATTTTATATGTATTCACAATCTACCTGTCACCTAATAATAGGTCTGTTTCTGCAAAAATCACAAACTTGTCAGAGCGAATTTGATTGGTCGAAAACAGTCAGAAACAGTCAGAAAACTAGTTACAACCAATGAAATTCACTCTGACAGACCTAATAATAGGTGACAGGTAGATGTGAAGGCATATAAAATGTGTACATTTCTTGAACATCAAACCACCTGTATTTCGGAAACTAATCATAGTATCGGGTTGGGTCCATGAGAACTTTTTATCAGTAAGTCAAGATATACCACATATCAAAATTTCATTGAGTTTGACAGAAAACCAAAAACCCATAAGATGTGTGCGGGGTCCTTTAATTAAATTTTTCGTTGAAGCGCTGTGACCAAAAAAGTCTTTTTTTTAAATGGAATAACCTATATTTAAATCAATTATTTAAACGCCCCTATTTTTCTCATTTCAAATATATAGTTAATTTATCTTTATTTTAGTAATTTGCCATATATTCCCACTTTAAAATTCACACAAAAATAGCCAAAAAGGTATCATAAAACATAATAGGTAGGTAACCAGTTTTATTAAAGGTAAAATTATTTAGATTTACCTTGATACCTTTTCGGCTATTTTTATTTGAACCTTGAGTGAGAATATATCGCAAATTACTTATGGCGTTTCCGATTGGTAAATCTAGTGCAGAACTAGTGCAATTTTTTCTATTTCTGTCTTTCTCTTCTACAGGTCGACTAAAAGGATGCAAATACACTCAGGGCGCACTGAATCTACCAATCGGAAACGCCATAAGATAAAGATAAACAAACTATATACAGGGTGTCCCACGGTGGATGGCGTATTAGACGTTTATGGAGAACTGAAAAGCCGATCATTTTGAAAATTTGGCAACCGAGATAAATGACCATAATCTACACTTTAAAAATATTTTTGTTTATGCGGTGTTGCCGCTTCTACTCTAAACCAGTGGCAACATCGCTATTTTAAATGGAACACCCTGTATATGATTGCATATTTGGATTCTTCGTAAAATTCTGAACAGATTTCATGTGATATACCCTATACCTAAGTTCAACTATTTTGGAAATATTGACAGTTGAAAATTGACTTTTTGCAACTTTGACAGGCTGTAAAACCTAAACGGTTAATTTTAGAGGAAAACCGATTTTACATTCCTATCTTAGATTTTTATAAACTAACATTTGACATCAACTTTGAATTTAATCCATGATTAAAAATTCCAATTAAATTTCATCTCCGGTTAAATTTAAAGTTGATGTCAAATGATAGTTTATCAAAATCTAAGATAGGAATGTTAAATCGGTTTTCCTTTAAAATTAACCGTTTAGGTTCTACAGCCTGTCAAAGTTGCAAAAAGTCAATTTTCAACTGTCAATATTTCCAAAACAGTTGCACTTAAGTATAGGATATATCACATAAAATCTGTTCAGAATTTTACGTAGAATCCAAAAATGCAATCATATACAGGGTGTTCTATTTAAAATAGCGATGTTGCCACTGGCTTAGAGTAGAAGCGGCAACACCGCATAAACAAAAATATTTTTAAAGTGTAGATTATGGCCGTTTATCCCGGTTGCCAAATTTTCAGAATGATCGGATTTTTAGTTCTCCATAAACGTCTAATACGCCATCCACCGTGGGACACCCTGTATATTTGAAATGAGAAAAATATGGTCGTTCAAAAAATGGATTTAAATATAGGTTATTCCATTTAAAAAAAATTTTTTTTTGTTCACAGCACTTCAACGAAAAATCTAATTAAATTTCCAAAAACATTTTCAAATTCCTAGAAAAAAATACAACAAATGGCTATCTTGATTTTTTCAAAAAAAATTTTTTTAGCGAAAAGGTGGGGGGTGTTCACTTTATACTGGATCACCCTGTAGGTACATTTTAACACTGAAAATGTTTATTTTGTTAGCTCTTGTCGTCTTGTCTTGAAGAAACTTTTGTGATTTTACCAACATTTTGAAATTCCTATCATCTAAAACTTCGGTATAAGCGGGTTTGGGTTCGTTATTTGGGATTAAAGTACAAGTTTAAAATGTTACATAGGTACTTTAGTCGGTGAACATAGGTAGGTACTGTATGTAATTTGTAAATTAGGTATTATGTTTTTGTGTTATAATGGGGTTTTTCGTGAATAAAAAAATATTGACACCTAATCATTATCCGGCTTGAATCTTGCGCGAATTTCAATTTATAAGTTCTTGCAAACGTTTTGCATGTTTTATATTTTTACTCTACTTTTCGATTTTATAAATCAGAAAGTACGGTACTGGAGAACTAAACCCAAACTTTGAACCGTTAGTAAATGCGCACGCCGTTTAAATTGATTTTGCCAAGGATTTTGCGCTGAACGTATTAAAATCATTTGTTGGCCATTCATGCATTGTTCGTTCGAGTCGGGACAGGTAGAGAAACGATCAATAATTATTATTTCTAAAGGATATTTCGCTTTGGTTCTGGGTACAGTTTCATTTAAGCAACTTTTATTCTTTGGACATACATTTTAAACAAAATGGTTTCAAAAAAAGAGAAAAGACAACAACAACAGGTAATAACATTAGTTTACAATAGAATAGAAATAGTAATTGATCTTGTTTAATGTGCCTACATCGTTCCGATTTTCTATTTGTTTTGAAAAAACAAATATTGTACTAATTCACTCCTCTTCTTTTTCTAGGCAGCCCAAGAACAAGAACAGGCACCCAGTAAAAACACCGGTGTCTTTCGAAAGCTATTATCCAGCTTAATATTCGTGCTATTCATAGCAATACTGACAGAACCTTTCTATAGGTTAAACAAACCGAGGGATGATCTGTACTTGTTCCGTTTCGGAAGCAAAATCGGCCAAGCTGGAATTTGGTTAGACTCAAAATTGGACGAAAGCGTTCCAAAACCGTATTATACGCAAACCAAGGAAGTAGTTCAGCCCTACGGCGCTTTAGCTGGCGATTTGTTGAAGGTGGCGATTAATGTGCACGATCACGCCAGAAGTGCAGTTTCGGGTTTTGTTGATGAAAAATATCCTTTGGTCGTTGCATCGGTGAGTACCTAACATGTATTATAATCTTTAAATGCAATGCAAATTAACAAACAAAAAACTGAAAAAGTATTTGTTAACAATAATAGTTGATGTATGAGGTTTTCTTGTTTGTTGATTGTCAAAAGTCAAAGTCAAAAAGTGCTTTATTGTGCAAAATACAATCTCATTCACAAAGCAGTCTATAATTAATTGAAATAAAATAAATGAACCAAAATCTAAGTATAATGGTTCATTTACATTCACTTCAAAGTCCAATTTGTCTTGAAATTGACCTGCTTGCCATATGGCGACAGCACATATCCATTTACATTGAAATAAATTTGAAGTTCACTTTAAATTTGGGCGAGCTGCTTGCCGAAGGCACAAAACATCCCCCCTTAGAAAGGTAAGTGCCGTGTTGAGAACCTGTCTATAAGTTTTCAACGCCTCTAGTGACTGGGGGGGTAAGCTTTTGTAATTCTGGATTTATTGGCGAATGCAAAACGCAATTAGGGTTCGTTCGGTATCTTATTTGTTCCGGTGGATCGTTTGCACCATTGTTTGATTCTAGCGATTCAACACCACCACTTTAAAGTTTCTACCATTTTTTGGCATAAAATAATTGTGCCAAAAAGAAGAAACTCATAAAATCGGTAGTGTTGAAGCGCCTTCAAGGTAAAATTGACTAAAAATTAAAATGACAAATTTAGATATTTATTAAAGTTTGAAACAGAAAATATTAAAGAATATGGAATTAATTACAATTATTGCGAAACAGTTTTTTTTCATGTAAGTATACATACATAGGTAGGTAATGCTAGTTAAGTTAAAGATAATAAGGACAGTTACAAGAAGTAATGACGTACATTTAACAATAGCTTGATGAAAAACTTAAATCGTAAATAAAATGACAAAAGAGGTCCTTTTCTCACAATCCAAAATCGTTGTTAACCTAACAAGTGAGGAAAGTGTTTCTGCACGTGATGGAAGTTGCACGAATGACAACAAAAAGCAGAGTTCAAACAAGCCTTTAAGTCCAGAAAATACACTTTCCGCATGTGTTAGGTAGAAAGTTTATGTAGTTATACATAATATAAAGCTCATTCAAGAAAATGATTTCGCCTGGATGATAGAATAAATATTTTTGATAATAGTCTATACCCTTTACCACTAGCTTTAAGCAAAGACAACGCCAACAACTTCTCGTCCAATGTAAATCGTCTAGCTTTAGGCTTTTGGTTTTGAGTACGGACTTGGCTTAAAATAAAGCTGTATATCAATGGATTGACGTGGTCTACGAGCCTTTGAAATTTGGTTTATGATGCAAGTTATTCAGCAGTAGAAACTTTGGATTTAAATGACGACAACCTTCTACTGATTCTTCTTAACTTATTGCTGGATTCTATAACTTTGGAATAAAGATATTTTTGCCCTTGGGGATAGGAATTTTTTGCCTAGTGACGTTAATGTTCTTTAAAATTTGGCATCGTCTCTCATGACCTGCAAAAAAAAAATAGATCAAGATTGGAGACGAGCTTTTCGCACATTTAGCTTCTAATTTTTCTAGCATTCGACTGCAAGTTTTAGTAATTAGTAGTCTTTTATAGTAGTAGTCCTACTTGAGTTAGGATGTTTTAAAATTCACCTACTCCCAACTGGGTGGTTATTCATTAAGCAATAACAGTTAGGTACCTACCAATAAAAGTTTTAAGAGACAAAGTGGGTTGGTGACTTTTTCATGTTTGCAGATGTGATGGTTCCACTTGGTGTAGCAATGTCTGCCCGAATTGCAGAAGTTTCAGTAGATAAAAATTGACGACATGAAGGGCCTGGTTGATCTAAAACAGAAATTTCGTTACCAACGATTCTACCAAAAAAGTTTGGATACATGCATATTAGAATATGGTGTACCTGTATGTAACTAGGAATATTTTAATTATTGTGTCTCCTGATAAAGGAATAAACATTTAAAAAAAAGAAATGAATAATATTAGCTTTGTTCCAACACAGCAGAAAACCGTACAATGTACCGTCACGATTCTGCGCAGAAACTAAAATTGTTATACTGAGTGGTTTCGAAACCGTTCATGGGACGATTTTTTGACGTGTTGGAACAGAGTTATTATGTTTACCTACCTATGTCAATCATAGTTGCGAAACTAATTTCTGAAGGCGTCTTAGGACTCTTCGACGAGTTTCAACTGTGTCGATCTCCACTTTTTGCCATTTTGGTGATTGTGGTTTATCAATTAACGACTCCTCACTGTTTTTGATAATTGGGGCTAAAATTAAAATTAATTTTAATGTTTCTGACCTATGCTCCTTTAAACCCGAATTCTAACACGTTGTCGTTAATCAGAACTATGGGGAGGAGTAAGTGAAAATGTAAGTACGTCTTTCTCACATATATCTAGTATTAACTTACCTTCAGGGAGATACAGCAAAAGCGCAGCATTCCATGTGAGTCCTCGTCTGGCTTTTGGATCGCCAACAATAAATTCTCGAGGAAAATGTCTTGTTCACGCTCTATAATTATTATAAGCCTTCTCGACACTGAGGCTATTTAGTAAAGGATTGCGAACTTTTTCTAGCCATTGTTTCATTTTTTCGGCATCTTTTGGAAACCGGAAATAGCTGCTGTAGCATTTCTGATGCTTTTCAATTAACAAACTGGGAGAAGACATTTTGAGATAATAATTATTGATAATTGATAGGTAATTGATAATTCTAAATGTTGGGAGAAATTCAAAATTTAAATTTTGACGACTGGAAATGACAAAATAAACTTCAAATCTTGGCGCACGGTCCGGCAGGAAAAAGAAAACTTTAATAGGTTGATTGAAGCGCCTCTAGTGATTGGAGGGGAAAGCTGAAACGACTAAACTGACGTCTCTCATAAGACTTACATTTCTAAGGGGGGATGTTTTGTGGCCGAAGGCAAGCAGAAATTTGTAAAATGTCAAATTTTTAGATTATCCATTTGATTTTCATAAAATTCTGACGTTTTGACTTGACGTTTTTGTTCTGCAATGTAAATGATAAAATATCAAACGTCAAATTTAACTTGAAATTAGAAGTGAATGTAAATGCTCCTTAAATCTAAAACAGTTCAAAACAACTTAAATTAAAAACAGTAAATTTGGTAACATATTAAAATTAAAAAAACATCAAACGCTCAGGTGAAACAAGTATACATTACAATCACAATTCAAAATTATAACTTAATAACTAGGAATACAATAAATATTTAAAAGTCAGGTCAGATCATATGCAAAAAAAAATAAAAATAATAGTTATTTATACACCAAGTGAGTTAAATGAATGTTTATTCATGAGAAGAAAGTTTAACCCACGAGCCCTAGCGAGTGGGTTAATTTTCTTCGAATGAATAAACATTTTAACTCACGTGATTTATACAAAATTTTATCCCATTTTGATGGACATTTAAAAAGTAAGGAATCAAATTATAAAAAGAATTTATTTAGTAGTTGGTGGTTGGTGGTTGCTAAGGTATAACTAGTTGTTTGTTTGTATTTGTAGCAGATTTTTATACTGGCAGAGTCACTTAAAAGACCGAGAGCGAGTTAAAAATATTTTATCCAACACATGACAGTTATGACTATTATTATTAATGTCATTTTAGACAAGTAAACTATCAAATAACACACTAGTGTGTTATAATCCATAACTCACTAGTGAGTTATGGATTATAACTTACTAGTGAGTTATGGTTTATAACTCACGTTCATATTTAAAGTAGTATTCTATTTATTTATTTCTATTACAATTACAATTAAAGGAAAACGTTAACGGTTTATTCGAATTTGAAGTCATTGTAAAATTCGTTGGTTCATTGGAACCAGACGCTCCCATATCGGTACAGCTGCTGATAGTGCTGGAAGACGCAGACTAATAGAACCTTGTATTTTTTTTGTATTATCCCATAAAAAACACGATTTCTTCTACTTGTTGGGATAAAACATTGTATGCCACTCGTGTGTTATGTTTCCTGAGTCACTTGAGAATTTATACCACTCGGCCTGACAGCCTCGTGGTATAAATCTTTCTCTCGTGACTTATTTTCAACATAACACACTAGTACCATAAATAACTATTAAGTCACTCAGGTGATAAACGTCTACTTACCTTTGTCATTATGCGTTCAATAATGTCATTTTTAAACGTCAAAATGGGATAAATTAAAATAAATGTTGGTAGGGTTACAATTTAGGGAAAAAAATAAATAAGCAAATAAAATAACAGAAGTAAACTCAATATCAATCAGTGCAAGTACCTCAAGCACATAAATCAGCAAAAAATTCTGGCATGGTGTAATATGCCTTACTGACTAGTAGCTCCCTCGAAGAACTTCTAAATTTTTTTAAGAGATTTAGAGATTTTATGTTTGTTGGCAGTTGGTTATAGATTTTTCTGCTTTCATAAATTAATGATTGCTTTGTCAGTGAACTTGTTGGAATTGGAAGAGAAATTTTATCAGCGCCACGCGTATTGTGCTGCCTAGAAATTCGCCCACTTGCACCCAAATTCTTGTGGATAAGAGTAGCAGTCTCAAGAACAAACAAGGAAGTTAAAGTTAATATTTTATTTTCTATAAAAATTGGACGACATGATTGTGTCTGATTAGCCCCCACGATATAACGCACATCCTTTTTCTGTAATACAACTATGATGTTCAACAAGTACTGACTACTCATGCCCCAGAACGGTATGCCATACCTCAAATGGGAATCAAAGAGCACGAAATAAACATCTCGTGCCACCCTGGAACCAAGAGTGTCTCTAGCAGGCTTGATTGCGAAACAAGCGGATGATAATTTCTTGCTAAGCTTGATGATGTGCTCATTAAAACGCAATTCGCTATCGATAAATACACCCAAAAATTTAGTGGCGGGGCTCGCATGTACTCGTTCACCGTCCAAACACAATCCATCCATGTCACATTTGAAACCCATAACACGTGTCTTACCAACATTCAAAGAAAGTTTATTACAATTGAACCA